AGCTCAAGGGGGGGGGAATCATTTGGAATTTTCTGCTCCATCTTTTAACTTCTGATGCTCAGTGCAAGTTTTATTCCTAACTTTGAAAGAACTGAATCCAAGCCCAGGCTGGCAACCTTCCCAGCTTTCAAACCCAAATCGTGAAGGGGAGACACAAATTTCAGGGAGGGGTCCTTAACAGCTGGCCTGGATGGAGAACATCTGGGTTTTCGCTAGCAAAGACCCACCCTGAAACTTTTTTCTAGAGTTGCATCATACCGATTTCTTGAAGGTTCTGGAAATCTCTACATCTTGTTTGGGAGATGCCCAAAATGTAAATTACACACTTATATATACACAGAGAGAGAGAGAGAGAGACAGAGAGGGAGGGAGGGAGGGAGGGAGGAAAGGGAGGGAGGAAGAGAGAGAAAGAGAGAGAGAGAGAGAGAGAGGAGAGGGAGAGAGAGAAAGAAAGAGAAAGAGAACGTGAGAAAGAAAAAGAAAGAGAGAAAGAGGGAGAGAGAAAGAGAGAGAAAGAGAGAAAGATAGAAAAAAGAGAGTGAGAAAGAGAAAGAGAGAGAGAGGGAGAGAGAAAGAGGGAGAGAAAGAGAGAGAGGGAGAAAGAGAGACAGAGAAAGAGAAAGAGAAAAAGAGAAAGAGAAAGAGAGAGGGAGAGAGGGAGAGAGAGAGAAAGAGGGAGAGAAAGAGAGAGGGAGAAAGAGACAGAAAGTGAGAAAGAGAAAGAGAGGAAGAGAAAGAGAGAAAGGGAGAGAGAAAAAGAGAGAAAAAGAGAGTGAGAAAGAGAGAGAGGAGAGAAAGAGAAAGGGAGAGAGAGAGAGAGAGAAAGAGAGGGAGAGGGAAAGAGATAGAGAAAGAGAGAGAGAGAAAGAGAGAAAAGGAGAGAGAGAAAGAGAGAGAGGGAATGCTTTTTAAGTTTGTACAGTAAGAAGAAAGAAGCAATTTTTTTTCTGGGTTTTTCTTGGAATCAGGAAGCCCATTCAATTCAATCAAATCAAATCACACGTGTGCCTTTCTTAAAAGAAATAAACTTTATGCTTTCACCGCTCTCTCTCGAACATAAATTTACACAGCACCTGTGCAGATTCTGGGATTGGGCACATTCAGGTTTCGTCCTTAATGGATTATTGGGGGTGGGCAAGTGAGGGTCGCTGTGGGAAGGCCCTGGATGGCAGGAACATGTCAAGGTGAGGAATATTTTTGATAATATAATTTTTCAGGCCTTCTCTTCGCGTTTTATTTTCCCCTCCTTTTAAAGGCATCATAAAAATTTGGAAGCCACAGTATTCCGGTAAGATGGCTGCATGTGTTTATCCTTTTCACATTGCGGAATTACAGAATTGTAAAGTCGGAGGGGTCCTTAGAGGCCATCTAGCCACCCCCTTTGCTTACTCCAGGATACACTAGAGCAGCGGCCCCCAACCTTTTGGGCACCAGGGACCAGTTCCTTGGAGAGAGGCTTTTCCGTGGACTGGAGGGGACGTGGGTTCGCAGGCTACCTGCATCCCACAGAGGGGGCTTCACTTGTTTCCACAGCCCAGTTGAAGAGGGGGAGTCAACTTATTTTACAAAGCACCAGAGGGCAGGACAAGAAGCAATGGTTGGAGACTGAACAAAGAGAGAAGCAACCTGGAATTAAGGAGAAACTTCCTGACAGTTAGAACAATTAACCAGTGGAACAGCTCGCCACCAGAAATCGTGGGCGTTCCATCACTGGAGGTTTTTAAGAAGAGACTAGACAGTCACCTGTCTGAGATGGTATAGGTTCTCCTGCTTGAGCAGGGGGCTGGACTAGAAGACCTGCAAGGTCCCTTCCAGATTCTATTCTATTCTATTCTACTCTACTCTACTCTATTTTTCTATTCTATTCCTATCCTATTCCTATTCCATTCCATAATTGATTCTGCATCGATAACCTATATTGTTCTGTTAAGGTTATGAAGGACAAAATAAACACAAATAAAACTGGGGTGGCTATATTTTGTAATAGGATTGTGCAGTAATTCAGATATTCAGATTTCTATTCTATTCTGTTGTGGTCTATTCTATTCTATATTCTATTCTGTTCTATTCTATATTCTATTCTGTTCTATATTCTGTTCTATTCTATACTATTCTATTCTGTTCTGTTCTGTATTCTGTTCTATTCTGTATTTCTATTCTGTTTTATTCTGTATTTCTATTCTATTCTTTTCTGTAATTCTATTCTATTCTATTCTGTAATTCTATTCTATTCTGCATTCTATTCTATTCTTTTCTGTAATTCTATTCTATTCTATTCTGTAATTCTATTCTATTCTGTAATTCTATTCTATTCTATTCTGTAATTCTATTCTATTCTGTAATTCTATTCTGTAATCCCATTCTATTCTGTAATTCTATTCTATTCTATTCTGTAATTCTATTCTATTCTATTCTGTAATTCTATTCTATTCTATAATTCTATTCTACAATTCTATTTTATTCTGTAATTCTATTCTATTCTATTCTATTCTATTCTATTCTATTCTATTCTATTCTATTCTATTCCTCCTACTGATGGGATCCTGCCCCATCTGAGGATGCTGAAAAAAGAATTGCTCAGCAGCCCAGCCCTGTCATTAGCAGGAGAAGTTTCTAGTCCACTCTCCCCATTTCCTTCCAGGCCTCTTTGGCAGGCTGCAAACTTTCCAGCGTGGCAAGGGGGAAGGCGGAAGACACACGCCGGGGCGAGCCACGCCTGTCCTCGCTCAGATTTCAAGGAATTGCACCAGAGAAAGAATGTGGCTGCAGGCATCTTAAAGATGCAAGGCGGATTCCTTTTCTGTTCTTTTCTTTTTTTAAAAGGGAAAGGTTGAATTTATTTATGTATCCTATAATCACCCCTCTCACATGACGTGAAGTCAGAGAAGAAGGAGAGAGAAGCAACCTGGAATTAAGGAGAAACGTCTTAATTAAAAAGCTTGCCTCCAGAAGTTGTGGGTGCTCCAACACTGGAGGTTTTTAAGAAGAGACTGGACAGCCATTTGTCTGAAATGGTACGCAGGATCTCCTGCTCAAGCAGGGGGTTGGACTAGATGACCTCCAAGGTCCCTTCCAGCTCTCTTCCGATTGAAAAATAACATATTGCAACACACACACACACACCCCGTGACAAGAACTTAATGACTGTACGTAAAACCTCGAACATAGATTTCAATTGTTATTATTATTTTTGGGAGCATTCACCACTTCTAGAGGCAGGTTGTTCCACTGGTTAATTGTTCTAACTGTCAGGAAGTTTCTCCTTAGTTCTAGGTTGCTTCTCTCCTTGATTAGTTTCCACCCATTGCTTCTTGTCCTGCCTTCAGGCGCTTTGGAAAATAGCTTGACTACCCTCTTCTTTGGGGCAGCCCCTGAGATATTGGAAGACCGATTTAATGTCTCCCCTCGTCCTTCTCTTCATTAAACTAGACATACCCAATTCCCCCCCAGCTTTTGAACCCCAGAAGGCCAGGAAGACACTCCAGTTAGGCTCAGAGGATCTGCGAGCACCGACTTACAGGGCCGTTGCAAAGATGCTCACCGCTTCGCAATATTTGTGGGACGGTTTAATTTTGGGGTGACCCGCCCAGTATTGGGGGAATCAAGCAAGGCATCAGTTAGGCCGTAGAGGAAAGGAACAGAGCACCCCAGAACTCTTAATGCCTGCACGCTCCAGATCTTTCCATTCCTTTGGCAGAATCTTTTCATTCGTTTGGCAAAAATCTTTTCGTTCTTTTGGCAAAATCTTTTCAGTCTTTTGGCAAACTGCCCCCCCAAAAAAACCTCCCAGATGAAGCGGGAGACGTTGTCCAATGGTTGTGTTGCACGAAGCCGTGGTTTGGCATTCGCATGTGAGTTTCCCCCCCCCCCCCAATTCTCCAGAGGACAAACCTGTCAATTACAGTTCATCGCGCAGTCCGCCAGATGTTCAGGCCGCATCTGGCATTTTGATCCACCTGTCGAGTTCTTCCCGACAACCTGGGAGAGGCACCTGTGGATGTCTGATGGTGGTTAAGGTCTCCCTGTCCTTTTGCCATTGACTGACAGGTGTGTGTGTGTGTGTGTGTGTGTGTGAATGCTGATGGTGTTCAAGGGATGCTCCGGCATTACTACTGCAGTTCCAGGGTGCTGTTCCTCGCAAACCCCAACATCCCTGATGGGCTCTGCTTTCTTCTCCATTCCAGACCCTTCCCCCCCCCTCCGCAAACATCAACCCTGCAGGTTGGCCTGGACCCAAAAGCGGGTGAGGGAGAGCTTTATATGTGATTTTTTTTTTTTAATATATATAAATTTGACAGTGGTCGATTTTATAAATCAACCAGTGGAACAGAAGTTGCCTTCAGAAGTTGTGGGAGCTTAAATCACTGGAAGCTTTCAAGAAATCTGTCAGACATGGTGTAGTAGGGCAGTGGAGGGGGGTGGTGGACTAGATGACCTCCAAGGTCCCTTCCAACTCTAGTTATTCTAATCTAGGTCCATCTATGTGCCCCCTCCAGCAACCCACATCCAAGTTTCTCCCCACCCTCCACCGCTCTACGACTGCTAACCCACCTTTATCTGAACCAGGTCCAAACCCGTGTTCGTTTACGAGTCGGGGAGTCGTGCGCAAGGCAGCCCAGCTCGAGACACACACGCACCCGGCTGTGGGCCGCTTCCCCACGGGGGAGGCTGCCTGACCCCCGCTTCCCATCGGCCGGGAGGGGCTTTTGGAAGCTCCTCGCCCTGGCAAATCCGCGCCAGCTCACCTGGGCTTTGCAAAAGCCGCGCAAATCTGCGCCTGCAAAGGGAGACGGTCGCAAAGCGGAGCGGCGGCGCAGCTGCTGCAACCCGGGCGGCGTTAGGACCCTGCAGCGGCGGGGACGGGGGGGGGAGGGGAGCGCCTCCTCTTGCAAGAGGAATTTGGAGAAGTTTCCCTCCCCCTCCAGCCGCCCCTTTCCAGAAGTTTCTCCGGCCCCCTTTATATAGCCCCCTGGTCCGGCGGCACCTCGGCCCGAGAAAGCCAGTCCGGAGCGCGGAGGGTTCCCACGGCCTTTGCAAGCTGCAAGCCCCCGAGGTGAGGAGGGAAGGAAGGAGGGAGGGAGGGAGCGGGTCCCCGGGCCACGGCCGGCCTTTGCAAGCCGCTGGGCCCGGGAGCGGCGGAGGTTTTGCAAGCTTTTGGGCCCGTCCCGCTTGCAAAAAAAGAGGACTCGAGCTGCTAAAGCGGAGTGGAGCCGGATTGCAAGGTCCAGCGCTGGGGTCCGCCTTCCTTGAGCCTCCCCCACCCCCCCGACTACATGGCCCATGCTCGGGTCCCCATCGCGTTTCTGCCCCCCTGGGGCGGGCATGTCCCATCATCCTCTCCCGATCTGTGCCTGGCATGCCCCATCATCCCCTCCCAGCCCGTGCGTGGCATCCTGCCCCATCATCCCCCCCCCCCAGCCCGTGCAGGCTTATCTCCCGGCATCCCTTCCCGAGCCGTGCGTGGGAAGTCCCATCATCCCCTCCCAACCCGCGCGTCGTATGTCCCATCATCCCCTCCCGACCTGTGCAGGGCATGGCCCATCATCCCCTCCCAGCCCGTGCAGGGCATGCCCCATCGTCCCCTCCCAGCCCGTGCATGCTTATCTAAGGCATCCCTTCCCGAGCCGTACGTGGGAAGTCCCATCATCCCCTCCCAGCCCGTGCAGAGCATGCCCCATCATCCCCCCCCCAGCCGGTGCACGACATGCCCCATCATCCCCTCCCAGTCCGTGCATGACATGCCCCATCATCCCCTCCCAGCCCGTGCGTGGCAAGCCCCATCATCCGCCCCCAGCCCGTGCACGGCATGCCCCATCATCCCCTCCCAGCCCGTGCAGGAGATGCCCCATCATGCTCTCCCAGCCCGCGCGTGGCATGTCCCATCATCCCCTCCCAGCCCGTGCAGGCTTATCTCCCGGCATCCCTTCCCGACCCGTGCGTGGGAAGTCCCATCATCCCCTCCCAACCCGCGCATCGTATGTCCCATCGTTCTCTCCCGACCCGTGCATGGTCTCTCCCACCGTCCCAATCCCAATCCCTGCGTGGCCGGTCCCATCGTCCCCTCCTCACCCTTGCATGCTCTGCCCCATCATCCCCTTCTAAGCCGTGCAAGGGGACAGCGGACTCTGCTTCTTGCATGGGCTTTGTGGGGTGGGGGAGGACTCTTTCCCCCCTCCCTTCCCAGGTCCCCGGCCCGTGGGGAACCGCGGCTCAGGGTCCCTTTTGCGCAACGATCAGGGACGCGAGTAGAGAGCGGGCTCTTGACCCGCTTTCCGTTTGCGGGCTGCGTTCACACGACGCGTGGACCCGAGAGCCCCTGCCTTGCTTTCCAGCCGGAGGAAAGGCTAGGAGTTCACCAGGGGAGGGGGGGAGACCCCCCAGATCAGCCCGGGAGGCACCCCCAAAGCGCTTGGCTTGCAAACTGGGAGAGGGCGCAGGAATCTGACCCGGAGGATTCCCGGGACCAGCTGGAGATCCGGCGGGTGGGTTAACCTGGGATTTGCTGGGCGGGTCCTGCTTCTGCCGGGGGGTGGTGGGGGTGGTGCAATTGCCTGGGCGAAAATGCCCTCCCCCTTTCTCCGTGCACGCAAGAGAAAGTCCATTCAGACGATCGAGATCCGCTGAACCTTTGCATTCAGGTCCCAGGTTTTTTGGGGGGGTGTGTGTGTCTTTTGGCTCAAGCAAATGCTGCGGGTGGGGAGGCGATGTACCGTTTCTATTAGGGAAGGGGCCCGGAGGATGCAGTAGGGAAGAAAGAAAGAAAAAAACTAGACAAGTGGACTGCATTCACACGACATATTAGACTTAGAGCAAGGAGCAGAAAAGTTTTTTTTTCTGTTTCCACTTCTTGCATCAACCACCAGGCACAAATGGACTGCCATCTGTCAGAAATGGTGTAGGTGTAGGGTCTCCTGCTTGTGTGTGTGTGTGTGTGGGTTGGACTAGATGACCTATAAGGTCCCTTCCAACTATTGTTATTCTAATTCTAAAAAAAAAATGACATTTGTTAAGTCTTTAATGCAGCTGGAGGAGGGCTGGTCTCTGTAATAAACCCTGATTAGTTTTTCCCTTTAAAGAAGCCTGCTTGTTTCCATCATGGCTAGGCGCTGGGTTTGGAAACCCTGATTCTCAATTCAGGCTTGTGATCGTGGCTTATTCCAAGTGGAACATATTTGGCAGAAGAAGCAAAGCTGTGCAGGGCCTGCCCCTAAATAAAGTATATTTCTGAGTATATAAACCCAGCATTGCTTGCTTAGATTTAGAAACGTTTTGACCCGTGGCTGACGTGGCTTGGCTAAACTTAAATTTAGCTCCTGGAACTGTCCTTCAATTTTATTTTTAATTTTGCCCTCTGCAAAAGGGCTGAGAAGACTGTCCTGACAATCAAGCATCCAGAAAGTGACGCTTGTCAGGTCCTGACCTAGATGCAAAATAACGGTTAGGATGCCTATCGCTCAGGATCGGTGGAAGATGGAATTTTAGCCAGGAAATAAAATTAGAAAAGAAACAGACAACAGTTTGTGGTTAGTGATTGTTTGGTTTGGGGGTCTCTTGCCAAGCCTATCAAGCGGATGTTGGACTTATTCCCATTTTTGCCGATAGATTCTCAGTCGCTGGGTGGGAAAATATAATACAATTTTACCAGGATGTCTTTAAAAAATGGAACGGGTGAGTTTTAAAACCCTGCAGGCTGTTTAAAATATCCAATCGGATGTCCCTTTTTTTTTTTGCCTTGGACAGAAAAAGGGGTAGAAAGGAAGATTAGAGGTCAGATTAGACATAAGGAAAATTTAAACCGGTTAACCAATTTTTTAAAAAAGTCACTCTTAATACTGCCTGCATGTAACCCGCTTTGCTAAGCCAGAATCTTCTTTGCCATCCAACATCTGGCTAAAGACGAGGTGGTCGATTGAATTAATTAAACATGCCCACCCCCTCCCTCCCCAAGTGTCTTTGGTTTGAATGTTTAATAATAATAATAATAAAGTTGGAAGGGACCTTGGAGGTCATCTAGTCCAACCCCCTGCCCAGGCAGGAAACCCTATACCATTTCAGACAAAGGGCTGTTCATTCTCTTCTTAAAAACTTCCAGTGTTGGAGCATTCACCGCTTCTGGAGGCAGGTGGTTCCACTGGTTAATTGTTCTAACTTTTTTGCTTTAACTTAGATGTAACTGTAAGCCGCCCAGTTATCCTATGGTAAGATGGGTGGCCAATAAAATATAGGAATGAATGAATGAATGAAGGAAGGAAGGAAGGAAGGAAGGGGAGGGAGGGAGGGAGGGAGGGAGAATAGGAGAGACAATGTGAAGGAAGGAAAAAAGAAAAAGAAGGGAAGAAAGGATAAACTCTGCAAATCAGAAGCGCGTGGATATTATGTTGATCTTAAAGCAGGTTTCTAGCCCTCAAAGTTGGAAAGAGGAACACGGAAAAAGCCTTAAGCCTCTGCCGAATTAGAAACAAAGACTATTTACTGGAAATTCTTTCGGAGATAACGCTCTAGCTGGTTGCATTTTGCTGCAATAAGACGCAACAATTTGCAATGGACGGCGGCGTGTGCAGAAATACACAAAAGGGGGAATAAAATTAAATTTGGGAGTTTTAAGCCGGTCGGGTTTGGCCTTGATTTTCTCTTCAACATCCTCTTCCTGTCAGGCAGCTGGCCCAATAATCATGGGCTTTGTCTCAAAGCTTTCCCAGGCTGGGCCGGCCTGCCTGCCTACGTGGCACGGCACGGCGTGGCGGGGGTGGTGGTGGAAGTATAAGGGGGGCGGGAAGGGATTGAGCTTCTGGAAACATCTGCAGCGATTTTCAGCCTGAAGTTTCTTTGTGTGTGTGTGTGTGTGTGCGACTGTGTGCGTGTGGCTGCAAAGCGGTGCTTCAGCATTGATGGAGCAGTTGTAAAACTTCAAACGGTCACTGAATGAGTTTTGGTAAAAGTTGAGGACTCCCTGCGTTTTAAAAACACCACCGTATCCTTTTTTGGAGGGCCGGGAAATGTGGTGCAGAAATATTTCCAAATATTTTCTCACCTGGTGGGGTTTTATTAGCGGCACGCTCATCCCATCCTGGGGATTGAAATTGTCTGAGGGTGGAAGATAAAACCATTCAAATGTTAATCCAGATTTTCATCGCCGCAAATGGCCCGCAAAATAACAGAAGCCTTGAAAACTTGCCCCAAACAAACATACCGATTGACTTTGAAGTTAAAAGTGAAAAAGCCCTTGTTGGAAAAAGGCAAACCTTGAATTGCAGAATATAACCGAGTTGGAAGGGACCTTGGAGGTCTTCTAGTCCAACCCCTTGCTTGAGCCAGGATCTACCACAATGATCAATGATTGGGTATCTACCAATCGGTGATCAGAGAGGCTGCTTGTGTGGCTAAATTGGCCGGTTGGAGGAGCAGACTCTGCGATGAGGAACTTTTTTTGCACGTGGATGCATTTGTGCAAACATGAGGTTGTGTGAGCGAATAGAATAGAATGCAGAATAGAATAGAATGCAGAATAGAGTAGAATAGAATAGAAATATAGAATAGAATAGAAATATAGAATAGAATAGGAATAGAATGCAGAATAGAGTAGAATAGAATAGAAATATAGAATAGAATAGGAATATAGAATAGAAAAATAGAATAGAATAGAATAGAAATATAGAATAGGAATAGGAATAGAATGCAGAATAGAGTAGAATAGAATAGAAATATAGAATAGAAATACAGAATAAAAATATAGAATAGAATAGAAAAGAATACAAAATAGAATAGAAAAGAATAAAAAATAGAATAGAAATATAGAATAGGAATAGAATGCAGAATAGAGTAGAATAGAATAGAAATATAGAATAGAATAGAAATACAGAATAGAAATATAGAATAGAATAGAAAAGAATAAAAAATAGAATAGAAATAGAATAGAAATATAGAAGAGAAGAGAAATATAGAATAGAAATACAGAATAGAAATAGAATAGAGCTGGAAGGGACCTTGGAGGTCTTCTAGTCCAGCCCCCTGCTCAAGCAGGAGAACCTATACCATCTCAGACAAGTGACTGTCCGGCCTCTTCTTAAGAAGAGATTAGCCAACTATTTGTCTGAAACGTATAGGAGGGTCTCCTGCTTGAACAGGAGGTTGGGCTAGAAGACCTCCAAGGTCCCTTCCAACATGATGATGATTCCAACTCTGTTATTCTGTTAATTCCTGTAAGGTTGTGTAGCTTAGCACCCATCACACCCAGTGAAAGAATTTCAACAGCTTTCCTGGAGCAGGTAATGGCATGCTATGCTTTCCTGCTTGCTCAGCTTCACCTTGATTTACGGTGATAATGGAGCCTGCCCATTACAGTCATAAATCATACAGTTGGTAAAGCCGATCACCACGTAACTGGACCTTGGATCATCTTAGCTCTCTGAATTTTTTCCAAACTCTCAGCCTTTCTTTTTTGTGATACAGTGACCAAAACTGGCTGTAGTATTCCAGGAGTGGCCTCACTAGGGCTTTATAAAGCGGTACTAATAGCTCGCGTGACCTTGATTCTGTGCCTATGTTTATGCAACCCAGGATTGTGTTATTCTTTGACTCAGCAATGCGGCACTCAACTTAATCTTCGGTTTCTCCCCGTGCCAGCTCTTGATTCCTTGGCTGCTGCTCAGATAGTATTGGGGGGGGGGAATATAAGGATGGGGGGGCATCACTTTTGTAGGGATAGTTAAGATTATACGGGACAATCGGCATGCGAGTAGTCCTCCAATTAACCACCATAATTGAGCCAAAATCTCCACTGCTAAAAGCCAGACAGTGATTGAGCAAGTTTTGCCTCGTTTTATGACCTTTCCAGCCACACTTGTTCAGCGAATCACCGCAGCTGTTAAGTTAAAAATAAAGTTGTTAAATAATACGGCTTCTCCGTTGACTTTGCTTGTGTTGTAACTTTCAGTGATCCCTAAGCGATGTGTATTTTTTAACACAATACTGTGGTCCTCACGACCACGGCTGAGCCCAAACTTTCTGTTGTTAAGTGAGACATTTGTTCAGCGAATTTTGCCCCTTTTTACTACCGTCGTTAAGTGAATCACTGCAGTTTATAAGCTAGTAGCCCGGTTGTTAAGTGAATCCAGCTTCCCTATTGAGTTTGCATGCCAGAAGGTCGCAAAAGGGGATGTTGCAACCCTGCAACGGCCATAAATGTGAGTCGGTTGCCAAGTATCTGAATTTTGATCACGTGACCTTGGGGGATGCTGCGACGGTCGTAAGTGTGAAAAATGGTCCAAAGTCACTTTTTTCCCATGCTGTTGTAACTTGGAACGGTCACTAAGACAACTGTGGCAAGTCCAGGACCACCTGTAAATCTATAAATGTCTGGGTACTGTGTTAATTTTCCCATTATGACCTCAGGCATTGTGGGAAATGTAGTTCCTGCAGTAACGGCCATTTTGATTTCTCGTAGGTTTTGACTGCTCGCCGCTAGCATGGATGCCACCTGGTTGATCCATCTCCTCGCGCTCTGCGCTCTCGTGACGGCTGTCCCCTCTGACAAGAAGGCGGCGGCGGAGAAAAAACCGACCTCGAAAGAGAAAAAGTTGAGCGAGAAGGCCACCACCTTGGCTGACCGCAGCACCATCTTGGCCTTCAACCTCTACAACGTGATGGCCAAGGACAAGAACCTGGAGAACATCTTGGTGTCTCCCGTGGTGGTGGCGTCTTCTCTGGGGTTGGTGTCTCTCGGCGGGAAGGACGCCACGGCGTCGCAGGCCAAGGCCCTGCTTAGCGCCAGCAAGCTCAACGACGAGTACATCCACACTGGACTCTCGGAGCTGCTGACCGACGTCAGCAACGCCACGGCCAGGAACGTCACCTGGAAACTGGGCAGCCGCCTCTACGGGCCCAGCTCCATCAGCTTCGCGGAGGACTTTGTGCAGAACAGCAAGAAGCACTACAACTGCGAGCATTCCAAGATCAACTTCCGAGACAAGCGTAGCGCCCTCAAGTCCATCAACGAGTGGGCTGCCCAGACCACGGACGGCAAGCTGCCCGAGGTCGCCAAAGATGTGGTGAAGACCGATGGGGCCTTGATCGTCAACGCCATGTTCTTCAAACGTGAGTCCGGGTGGAGGGAGAGCTTTGAGCCAGAGGGGGGAAAAAGGGTGGAGACTTGGTTGGTGGGGTGTCGGCGGACGGATCAGGAAGTCGAGATGGAGATGGTGGCTGCCGTCTTCTCTTGTTTTGACCCCTCCGATGGTTGACCCGACTTGGTGGCCACTCAAAAAGTTCATTTGTTCCTTAGGAATGCATCTAGGAGAGAGTTTTCCAAACCTGGGTGGATTTCAACTCCCAGAATTCCCCAGCCAGCAATGCCTATTACTTTCCTCCTGCCTCCTAGAGAGGAAGAGACTACAGAGAAAGGGATTATAAGAGAGTAAGCAGGCCACAATGGGGATTACACATCAAAAAGGATGAATTAGTGTCAGGGAATTCTGGGATTTGAAGTTCACCTGTCTTAAAGTGGGCTACTTTAGGACGGGTGGATTTCAACTCCCAGAATTCCCCAGCCAGCAATGCCTATTACGTTCCTCCTGCCTCCTAGAGAGGAGAGACTACAAAGAAAGGGATTATAAGAGAGCAAGCAGGCCACAATGGGGATTACACATCAAAAAGAATGAATTAGTGTCAGGGAATTCTGGGATTTGAAGTTCTGGTTGGAAAACCCTAATCTAAACCTCGGTTTTGCAAACATTTTCCATTGTTGCCGTGTTGCATTAATGCATCCCTTTTGATTTGTTTAGCGCACTGGGACGAGAAGTTCCATCACAAGATGGTGGACAATCGTGGCTTCATGGTGTCGCGTTCCTACACAGTCGGCATTTCCATGATGCACCGTACAGGTAAGGAAGCCTGGATTTAAGGATTTTAAAAAAAAAAAGCATGATTTTTCCTCATTTCTGTTGTCCCAGGATCTCAGCTCGGATTTTTCTGTAAGTGTTTGAGGCAATAAACAAGGTGAACAAAATCTTTGCATTTTTCGGCAAAGTAACACCAGGCTAGCTGTAAATTTTTAATCATGAATACATGTTGGGCTGAAGGGAAGAACATTAAACTTCTGACTCTACAGGGCTACAGGTAGTCCTTGACTTACAACAGTTCTTTTAGTGACTGTTTGAAGTTGGTCTTTTACTCCAACTCTCAAGCAGGAGAGCCTATGCTATTCTGGACAAACGGCTGTCCAGTCTCGTCTTAAAAACCTCCAGTGATGGAGTACCCACAGCTTCCAGTAGCAAGCAGTTCCACTGGTTAATTGTTCTGTCAGGAAATTCCTCCTTAGTTCCAGGTTGCTTCTCTCCTTGATGAGTTTCCATCCGTCGCTTCTTGTCCTGCCTTCAGGCGCTTCGGAGAATAGCTTGACTCCCTCTTCTTTGGGGCAACCCCTGAGATACTGGAAGGCTGCTATCATGCCACTCCTAATCCTTTTTCTTCATTAAACAAGACATACCCAAAGGAGCAGAATAACAATTGGAAGGGACCCTGGAGGTCTTCTAGTCCATCCCCCTGCTCAAGCAGGAGACCCTACGCTATTCCAAACAGATGGCCGTCTTTGTGGCAGCCCCTGAAATATTGGAACACTGCTATCCTGTCCCCGCTCGTCCTTCTCTTCATTAGACTACACAGACCCAATTCCTGCAACCGTTCTTCACGTGTTTTAGCCTCCAGTCCCCTGATCATCTTTGTTGCTCTTCTCTGCACTCTATTTCCAGAGTCTGATCAGCCCACCGATTCTAATTTTATGCATTTGCGCAGGATTGTACAAGTACTACGCGGACGAGGCGGAGAAATTGCAGATCGTGGAGATGCCGTTGGCTCACAAGCTCTCCAGCCTGATCATCATCATGCCGAACCACGTTGAGTCCTTGGAACGACTGGAGAAGCTGCTTACCCGGGAACAGCTGCAGATTTGGTTGGGCAAGTTGAAGGAGCGGTCAGTGGCCATCTCTTTGCCCAAGGTCAGCCTAGAGGTCAGCCACGACATTCAGGTGAGTAGCCTCCGCTGTCCAGGGGAGATAGTGGTTGGAAGGGACCCTGGAGGTCTTCTAGTCTAACCCCCTGCTCAAGCATATACCATTCCAGACAAATGGCTGTCCAGTCTCTTCTTAAAAACTTCCAGTGATGGGGAAGGAAGGAAGGAAGGAAGGACAGCAGAATAACAGAAGGGATCTTGGAGGTCCTCTAGCATAACCCCCTGCTCAAGCAGGAGACCCTATACCATTTCAGACAAATGGCTGTCCACTCTCTTAAAAACCTCCAGTGTTGGAGCGTTCACAACTTCTGAAGGCAAAAAATACAGGTAGTCCTTAATTTATGACCGCAGACGGAACCGGAATTTCCATCGCTAAGTGATGGCTTTCTTAAATGAATCATCAACCTGACCTGTTTTTACAACCATTTTTAACCATGGTCGTAAAGTGAACCCGGCTTCCCGCATTGACTTGGCTTGTGGGAAGCTGGCTGGGAAGGCCGCCTATCGTGATTGTAGGATGTTGCAATTGTCGTAAATGCGAGTTGGCTGCCAAGCAATCACGTGACGGCAGGGATGTGCAAGGGTTGTAACTTTGAGGCGGGTTAATAGTATAGGTCAGGGGTAGGCAACCTTGGCTCTTTTGTGACTCGTGGACTTCAACTCCCAGAATTCCTGAACCAGCCATGCTGAGGGGAAAGGGAGAGGTTTCCAAACTGAGCCATACTGGCTGAGGAATTCTGGGAGTTGAAGTCCACGAGTCATGAAGGGGCCAAAGTTCCCCCATGCTGGCTCAGGAATTCTGGGAGTTGAAGTCCACAAGTCATAAAAGAGCCAAGGTTGCCTACCCCTGGTATAGGTAGTCCTTGACATAGGACCATAATGGAGCTTGCCCGCTACGGTTTTAAAATGCATCAGTCCCACCACCCATCCAATTTTATGACCTCGTTTTACAACAGTCATTAAGTGAATATGACAGTGGTTGAATCAACTACGGGTCAACCAGTTTAACCAAAAACTGGAAATAGCTGCCTGTTTTCAGCAAAACTGTTGTAAAACACAGTAAATGCGACTGACGGAGGCTGCAAAACAGTCAGAGCTGCGGCCTTGGTGACCAAATCGTATATATGACAGTTGCCGTGTCCCCGGGGTCACCTGATTCTCCTTTTGTGACCTTCCAATGAGCACAAAGTTGGCGCGGAAGCTAGGTTCACTCAGCAACCGTGTGACTTTCAGGGGAGTGATTCACTTTACAACGGTGGCAAGGAAGGTCGTAAAAACGGGTCAAAACTTACTTAACTGGAGATTTTGGGGTCCGTTGTGGTCGTTAAATCGAGGTTTGCCTGTAGAATTAATCTGAACTTGTCTTGTTGTGGTTCCGACAGGTGAAACTCTTCAAAAAAACTTCGAGGCATTGTTTACCTTAAAGAATCTTTTATTCGAGTAGCATAATATCGGCGCTTATATAATGGAAGCCAAAACCTGAATTCCCCTCCCCTGAGCACATAGTATCAAAGCACAATTCCCTCCTCCAATTAACAGTCATAAATCACATTCCCTAATTAGCTTGAAATGCAGGCTTCCTCTCCAGTTCTCCAGCCATGTCAAATCCTTATCAGCTCTGGTTACAATAACCTTGATTCTCACTCTAGGTTTAGTGTTGTTATGTCTAGCTAGACCAGTGGTGGCGAACCTATGGCACGCGTGCCAGAGGTGGCACTCAGAGCCCTCTCTGTTGGCACGCGCGCCACCGCCGCCAGCAGCAGGTCCATCAGGCCGCCACCGCGGCCCAGAGCAGGAGCCCCGCCCAGCACAAAGGAGGCGAAGCAAGCTCGAGTAGAGGTGGTAGACCAGAGGTCACCAACCATTGTTGATTGGTGGACTGGAAGAAAAGGGAGGGGGAAGCATTTTACATGCGTGCACGGAGCCGCGAGCACACACGCGCTGCAAATGGGGCGGGGCTAGTGCCTGCGTGATACTCACTAGCCCTGCCCTGTTCTTGCATGGTGCAGCGCCTTGTATCTGCACCCCACCGCACGGCCGTTTTTGCGCCTTGCAGCACGGTGGCCCATTTTTGCGCCCCCCGGTTTTTGCGTGTCAGAGGCGGCACTCAGAGGCGCCTCCCTGCCCCCCCATGAGGGCACCACAATGCTGAGGCGGCCCTGGCACTTTGCGATAAATAAGTGGGTTTTGGATTGCGGTTTGGGCACTCGGTCTCTAAAAGGTTCGCCATCACTAAGCTAGACTCTCTTCACATCCCCCCCTCTTCCCAGCATCATCTAACTCTAAAAGCGAAAGGAGAAAAGATGGCTACATTTTCATCTGTTGTCAATGCGGTCGACATCTCTGTGACATCACAGAAGTTCAGCCAATGGTTGAGCAGGGAAAACGATTCAAACCTCGCTCTTTCTCTCTTCCTGTTTAGAAACACTTAGCCGATCTCGGCTTAACCGAAGCCGTGGATAAAAACAAAGCCGACCTATCCAGGATCTCGGGCAAGAAGGATCTGTATCTCGCCAACGTCTTCCACGCGGCCGCCCTGGAGCTGGACACGGAGGGGAACCCCTTCGACTCGGACCTGTACGGCCGCGAAGAAATCCGGAACCCCAAGCTCTTCTACGTCGATCATCCCTTCATTTTCCTGATCAAGGACAATAAGACCAACTCGGTCCTGTTTATCGGCAGGCTGGTGAAGCCCAAGGGAGACAAAATGCGGGACGAATTGTAGGTCGTAGGCCCGGTTTCATGTATGTCTGTTGATATACATATTTTTTTTAAAAGAAATGAGACAAAATAGGTGCTTTTTTTTTAATTGGTAGCTCCACTTTCCTTCGACTCATTATATTTTTTTTGGGGGGGGGGCATCCAAGCTGGTGAGATGGGAATGCTAACAAGGGAAGTGGCGAAGGATGAGGGTCTCCCCCACCCCACCCAGCACCCGATTCTGCCCCCTATTTTGATTATAGGTAGTTCTTGATTTACGGCCACAATTGAGCCTCAAATTTCCGTTGTTAAAGTGAGACCTCTCTGAAGTGATTTTTGCCCCATTTTATGACTCTTCTTGCCGCCGTCGTTCAGTTAGTGCAGGGGTAGGCAACCTTGGCTCTTTTATGACTCGTGGACTTCAACTCCCAGAACTCCTGAGCCAGCATGGCGGAACTATGGCCCCTTCATGACTCGTGGACTTCAACTCCCAGAATTCCTGAGCCAATATGGGGGAACTAAGGCCCCTTTATGACATGGGGACTTCAATCCCAGAATTCCTGAGCCAGCCATGCTGAGGGGAAAGGGAGAGGTTTCCAAGCTGAGCCATGCTGGCTCAGGAATTCTGGGAGTTGAAGTCCACCAGTCATGAAGGGGCCATAGTTCCCCCATGCTGGCTGAGGAATTCTGGGAGTTGAAGTCCACCAGTCATGAAGGGGCCATAGTTCCCCCATGTTGGCTCAGGAATTCTGGGAGTTGAAGTCCACGAGTCATGAAGGGACCATAGTTCCCCCATGCTGGCTCAGGAATTCTGGGAGTTGAAGTCCACAAGTCATAAAAGAGCCAAGGTTGCCTACCCCTGAGTTATTGACACGGTTGTTAAGCGAATCTGGCTTCCCTCATTGACTTGGCTTGTCAAACGGGATCACGTGACTCGGAAACGGCAACTGTCGTAAATACGAGTCAGTTGCCCAGCATCTGAATTTTGATCATGTGACCGTGGGGAATGCCACAGCGGTTGTCAAGCGTGAAAAAGGGGTCATAAGTCACTTTTTTTCCAATTTTGAACGGCCACTAAATAAACTATTGTTAAGACAAGGATTATCTATAGTTTTATCTGCCCTGGAAGCTTAATGCAGTCCAAGATTTAGGAAAGGTGTGTGTGTGTGTGTGTGTGATCCATGTGCTCTTCCCAGGAAAAGTGATCTGTTCAGCTTTTGGGGATCCCTTTTTTCCTAAAGGTAACGTTGCGAGGGTTTTAACCCGCAATGAAGAAAGTTGAATTGCCAGTTTGATCAAGCTCAGGATTGTGAGATTGTTACCGTGGGAAGGAGAATTATTTCCTTATTTTTCAGCCGTTGCCAAGTTCTCACTGCTGCAAAACCCAGTTTGCATTTTGGAGAAGGCGGCAGTCCTCAACGTACGACGACGATTGGCTAAGCGAGCCGGGTGTTAAGCGAGACCTGCCTGATTTTTATAACCTCTTTGGCCACAGTTAAGCAGGTGTGAAGCGACTAATACGGCGTTAAGCCAATCCAGCTTCCTGCATTGATTTTTGTTCGAAGCCCCGTGGAAAGGTGGCAAAGGGGAGATCACGTGACCCCGGGATGCTGCAACTGTCCTAAGTACATGCCAGTTGCCAAGCTCTCAAGTTTTGTTCACGTGACTGTGGGATAGCTGTGGCGGGTTGGGTGAGGACGGTTCCCAAGTCACATTTTTCAGTCCTGTTGTAACTTTGACATCGCTAAACGAGTGGTCGTAAATTGAGGACTACCTGGCAGATGATCACGAGGGCATTTAGCAAGCAATACAAACTCTGCAAAGAGGGAATTGATACCTCGCCGAGTGTTTTTACATAGACCTTAAGAGGAATTGGGAATTTTTTTTACTTACTTAAGCACGGGTGAGTTATTTCATTCCTTTTAAAAACATTGACTTGGCTGCACTGATTGTGGGTATCCAGGCACGTATATACTTAATATTTAAAGTCCTTACTGGGTGAGAGTATTGCATTTTCAGTTTTATGAAACAGAACAGGAAGCCCTGGCGGTTTAGCCTGAAATGGAACTAAAGGGGAGGGGGGTGTATTTCCAAGAAGACAAAAAAAGTGGAGGACCCACACTCAAAATTACAGAAATTGCAAGCTGAGCTCCAGGGCAGAGTATGGGAAGGAAGCAGCTAATTAAAAGTGTTCCACTTCCATCTGATTCCTGTTTTTTTCTGCATTAATCAGAGGTCTTCAAACTTGGTCCTTTTAGGACTTGTGGACTTCAACTCCCAGAATTCCTCAGCCAGGCACATGTGCCTGGCTGAGGAATTCTGGGAGTTGAAGTCCACAAGTCCTAAAAGAGCCAAGTTTGAAGACCCCTGACCTAGATGATAAAGAGATATTTTAAATGGGCAGGAGCTACATGGAAGGCCCACCTTTTAACAGGCACTCCTCGGTTTAGTGACCCCGCCAACTGGCCTCTCGTTGTTAATTGAAGCAGTGGCTAAGTGAAACCAGGTGTAGTAAATATGCAGGCGTTAGGAAATTGGGGGCCTTGTTTAAATTTGGCACCTGAAAGGTGAAAAGAGCAAGACTTTGAAAAGTTGAGCTGAAAATCCCCACAGTTGAAATAAGAGTTGAATGTACATTTTTTTCTACCGATGGTGATGTACCCAGAATGTGCTTTAACCAGGTTAGTAAGCAATTCCAAGAGGTATTATTTGCAGAGCAGGCTAAACCCTTGGTCTGAGCTACGTGGACTAGTTTGCAGCAGTGTAGAATCCTACACAAGAGTAAATTCTGAAGTTTTTTTTAAGTTTTAAAGCCAGGGGTCTTCAAACGTGGCCCTTTTAGGACTTGTGGACTTCAACTCCCAGAATGCCTCAGCCAGCATGGGTGGACTTCACCTAAAATTCCTGTCAGCGTGGATGGCCTTCAACTCCCAGAATTCCCCAGTCAGCATGAATGGACTTCATCTAAAATTCCTGTCAGCATGGATGGACTTCAACTCCCAGAATTCCCCAGTCAGCATGAATGGACTTCATCTAAAATTCCTGTCAGCATGGATGGACTTCAACTCCCAGAATTCCCCAGTCAGCATGGATGGACTTCACCTAAAATTCCTGTCAGCGTGAATGGACTTCAACTCCCAGAATTCCCCAGTCAGCATGGACTTCACCTAAAATTCCTGTCAGCGTGGATGAACTTCAACTCCCAGAATTCCTCAGTCAGCATGGACTTCACCTAAAATTCCTGTCAGCATGGATGAACTTCAACTCCCAGAATTCCTCAGTCAGCATGGATGGACTTCAACTCCCAGAATTCCCCAGACAGCCCTGGCTGGCTGAGGAATTCTGGGAGTTGAAGTCCACAAGTCTTAAAGTTGCCAAATTTGAAGACCCCTGTTTTAAAGATTTAAGATTAAGCATGTGTCTAAATTTAAACGGCTAGACTCAGGGTAAAGGAGAAAAACAGCCAAACAACCTGTGTCCCCTTTTCTAACTTCATGTCTTTCCCATGTTACATGTGTGATCAGCCTCACCACCGGAGGGGGGGGGGGGTACCTCAAGATGGTTTTTTTGGGGAGACACAAGCCAGATCCGACACACAACACTGCAGACCACACGGGATAAAGGTGCTATCACAGGTTAAGGGGTGGGCGGGTGAATTAAACCATGCTTTGTCATTCAGATCTCCCTCTATTTTCTTCACCTTACAGAACTTTGTTGTACAATTTTTGCAATAAAATATTTTTCAGTGAACTGCTTTCTGAATGGTACTCTGGTGGGGGGGCAGGCATAGAAGTATCTGCACAGCAACTGTCAAAAAAGGGTTCTTCAAACTTGGCCCTTTTATGACTTGTGGACTTCCAACTCCCAGAATTCCTCAGCCAGGCATGCTGGCTGAGGAATTCTGGGAGTTGAAGTCCACAAGTCATAAAAGGGCCAAGTTTGAAGAACCCTGGTCAAAACACATCAGCTTTGGAGGGGAATAGAAAATCCCTCCCACCCACCCCTTTCCAGAAAAAGAATTAAAATGAAAATTGTTCCCAAATGATAAGCTGGATTGTGCTGTGAATAATTCTGAAGTTGGCTGGGATAAGTGAATGCTTCTAGATCAGCACATCTTAACTTCGGCCACTTTTAAGACAGGTGGACTTCAATTCCCATAATTCCCCAGCCAACATATGGATTTCAATTGTCAAAGAGTTCCCCAGCCAGCATAGATGGATTTCAATTCCCCAAATCCCCTAGTATGTGTAGACTTCAACTCCCAGAATTCTCCAGCCAGCACATGTGGACTTCAATCCCCCGTGTGGACTTCAATTCCCAGCCAGCACAGGTGGACTTCAATTCCCAGAATCCCCTAGTATGTGTAGACTTCACCTCCCAGAACTCTCCAGCCAGCACGTGTGGACTTCACTTCCCCAGTATGTGTGAACTTCAACTCCCAGGATTCCTTCAAAGGGGTGGGGAGGGATCTGGGCCGGTCACCCTCTCGGCCCTACAGGGTGGACAGGAAACAGTAGGACGGAGTCCTGAACGCAGCCCCCAAAGGGGATGGGGGTCAGAGCAGCAGCCCCCAACCTTTTGGGCACCAGGGACCGGTTCGGTGAAGAGACCTTATTCCCTAGACCGGAGGGGGACGTGGTTTCGAGTGCTGCCTGCATCCCATGGATTGGGGGGGGCTTTGCTTGTTTGCGTGGCCTGGTGTTGGTCCACGGCCCCGGGGGTTGGGGACCCCTCTAAGATGGAACACACAGTTGCATCCAAGGCCAGCCTGTAAATGAGGCTATGGTGATGTTTGTGCAGCGATGTGGCTGTGAGCCATTGTGGTTGGGGGTCCTCAAACAGCCCCCCCCCCAAATTGCCCCTTTTAACAGGACAGGGAAGCGTGTGCACGTCCACTTCCAACCGCTGGACATCCGAATGGACAGGAAGAGCTGAAAAAGAACCGGCTCCTTCACTCACTCACACACACACTTTGCCTCCCGGATTGCCCGATTCCAGAATGCAGACGATTAGATAGTCCTGGACTTATGACCGCAACTGAGCTCAACATTTCCGTGGCTAAGCGAAACGGTGAATTTGGCCCCGTTTTATGAGCTTTCTGGCCACCGTTGTTAAGCGAATCACCGTGGCCGTTAAGTGAGTAAAGCCTGTGGTTAAGGGGAATCTGGCTTCCCTGTTGACTTTGCCTGTACTTCCCACAGTAGATCTTCAGTCCAGGTATTTCCTGGTGGTCTCCCATCCCAGGGACCACCCTTTCATTTCCCCCCCCCCCCCCCGGTGAGCTCTGGTCTCTGAGAAGCTGATTCGTTACTTGGGCTAAACCGGGGGTAGGCAACCTTGGCTCTTTTATGACTCATGGACTTCAACTCCCAGAATTCCTGAGTCAGCTATGAATTCTGGGAGTTGACGTCCACGAGTCATAAAAGAGCCAAGGTTGCCTACCCCGGGGCTAAACTATCATTATTTGAGAGTGCAATTTGGTCTGGGAAGGATTAAACTAGGTTCCCGAAGAACATAATCTCAGTCCTAGAGCAGGAAAGACCATTTCTTGATGGCTTTTTAAAAACTTTTATTAAGAGATCTTTTTTTTTATAGAACTTCCAAGGTTTTAAACCAAAAACCTGCAAGGAAAAGGGAAAAAAAAAACATCAGGGAATCATTAAGCCCCGTCTTTAGTTTAAAAAGAACTCTTGGAGGCAAGACCGGTTTTTATTCTTCCGTAAATACAAATTGTCTTAATTCTTTTGGAAGTACATGCAGCCAATACACCCAGGTAACTTAGGACAATTTTCCCTAAACTGGTGCCTTGAGGATGTCCTTGCGTAGTTGTTGATGGGAGCCACAGTGAGGAAAAGGCTATCATGTTGGAGAAGGATAATACATTTACCGTTTGCAAATTACAAATCGGTCCGTGAAAATGGGCTCAGAAGCCAGTCAACGTATTATCAGTGCTAAAATCACCAACACTACTTTCAAGCAATGTTCTAGGGCAGGGGTAGGCAATCCTGGCTCTTTTATGACTCGTGGACTTCAACTCCCAGAATTCCTCAGCCAGCATGGGGGAACTATGGCCCCTTCATGACTCTTTAACCTGAGCTAGCCATGCTGAGGGGAAAGGAAGAGGTTTCCAAGCTGAGCCATGCTGGCTCAGAAATTCTGGGAGTTGAAATCCACCGGTTATGAAGGGGCCAAGGTTGCCTACCCCTGGTCTAGGAGGCTCACCGCTTAGAACAGGAGGACTTAGGACAGGGGTAGACAACCTTGGTTCTTTTATGACTCGTGGACTTCAACTCCCAGAATTCCTGAGCCAGCCATGCTGAGGGGAAAGGGAGAGGTTTCCAAGCTGAGCCATGCTGGCTCAGGAATTCTGGGAGTTGAAGTCCACAAGTCATAAAAGAGCCAAGGTTGCCTACCCCTGGTCTAGGGTAAGACGACCAAGGCTGCAAATACCCGTAACAATTTAAATCAGGTCTTTATGTATGTGCTACTGATATTTGGAGAAGGGGACTTATGTGTATAGAAGAGAAACTATAATTCAGGGTTGAACTGTGGGAACGCTGAGTTGGATTCTTTCCTTGCAGACGTTTCATGACCCAACTAGGGATCATCATCAGTGCTAGAAGGGGGGAGGAGGAGGAGGAGATGACTATGAGGTCCTTAGGTGCTCTGAGTTGGGTTCTTCCCTTGCAGATGTTTCATGACCCAACTAGGGAACATCAGTGGTAGAATGGAGTGGGGGGTTTGCCCTTTTTTATATATAAGTAGAGAGCAAACTCCATTCCCCTCTAGGCATTGATGATGTTACCTAGTTGGATCATGAAACGTCTGCAAGAAAATCACCCAGCTCAAAGAACAGCAAGGACCTAGTCCAGGGGTCTTCCAACTCGGCCCTTTGATGACTTGTGGACTTCAACTCCCAGAATTCCTCAGCCAGGCACGCGTGCCTGGCTGAGGAATTCTGGGAGTTGAAGTCCACAAGTCATCAAAGGGCCAGGTTTGAAGATCCCGACCTAGTCCGTTTCCTCCTTCTCCTCCACTCCACAAACCCCACTCCCTTCTAACACTGATGAGGTTCCATAGTTGGGTCACGAAACGTCTGCAAGGACACCACCAAAGTTCAGAGAGCAACATGGACCCCCCCAAAGGTGGCTTATTTCGTTCACTCTCCGCAGACCACTTTCAGGGCCAATCCAAGCCAGACCCTTACCTCTTAAGCCGTGGGCACCGGCTGGGGCATCGGCGGCTGCTCCGGCTTGGTGCCCTTCTGCTCCGAGATGGGGGTGGTGGGCAGAATCTCTTCTTTGGGCTCCACGATGCTGACGTGGTCCGGCAGGGGCTTCTTGGGCCCAATCTTCCCACTGGGATCCCAGGGCAGCATGATCTTCACCTTAATGCCCAGCACCCCTGCAAACAAAGGCGAGCCACTGAGGCAGGATCGTTTGGGCCTGCAAGCCCAGGAGCAGAAACTCAAACTAAGCCATTCGTTTAGTGACCATTCAAAGTTAAAATGGCACTAAAAAGAGTGAGTTACGGCTGTTTTTCACACTTAACAGCCAGTCGCGTGATCAACATTTGGAGGCTTGGCAACTGGCCTGTATTTACGACGGTCGCCGTTATCCTGGGGTCATGTGATCCCCCTTTGGCAAACCCCTGACAACCGAAGTCAACGGGGCAAGGCCAGGTTCCACGGAACGACCGCGTTACTGACTTCACAACTGCAGCGATCCGCTTAACAACCGTGGCGAGAAAAGTCGTAAAATGTGTTTGTGTGTGTGGGGGGGAAATCATTGAACTGTCTTGCTCAGTGACAGAAATTTTGGGCTCAAAAGGTGAGCCGTGGGAGCGGCAGTGGTTAGCCTGCAGTAATTGCAGCCAAACTCTGCCCACGGCCTGGAGTTCGATCCTGACCAGGCTCAAGGTGGACTCAGCCTTCCGTCCTTCCGAGGTCGGTAAAAGGAGGACCCGGATTGTTGGGGGCAAATAGGCTGATTCTGTAAACCGCTTAGAGAGGGCTGTAAAAGCAGTATGAAGTGGTATATAAGTACTATTTCTTTCTTTCTTTCTTTCTCTTTCTTTCTTTCTTTTCCTTCCAAGGTCGGTAAAATGAGGACCCAGATTGTTGGGGGCAAATATGCTGACTGTAAACCGCTTAGAAAGGGCTGTAAAGCACGGTGAAGCGGTATATAAGGGCTATTGCTATTTCTTTCTTTCTTTCTTTTTCTCCCTCCCTCCTTCCTTCCTTCCATCCATCCAAGATTGATAAAATGAGGACCCAGATTGTTGGGGGCAAATAGGCTGACTGTAAACCGCTTAAAGAGGGCTGTAAAAGCACTATGAAGTGATATATAAGTACTATTTCTTTCTTTCTTTCTTTCTTTCTTTCTTTCTTTCTTTCTCTTCCTTCCAAGGTCGGTAAAATGAGGACCCAGATTGTTGGGGGCAAATAGGCTGACTCTGTAAACCGCTTAGAGAGGGCTGTAAAAGCACTATGAAGTGATATATAAGTACTATTTCTTTCTTTCTTTCTTTCTTTCTTTCTTTCTTTCTTTCTTTCTTTCTTTCTTTCTTTCTTTCTTTCTTTCTCTTCCTTCCAAGGTCGGTAAAAGGAGGACCCGGATTGTTGGGGGCAAATAGGCTGACTCTGTAAACCATTTAGAGAGGGCTGCAAAAGCACTATGAAGTGGTATATAAGTACTATTTCTTTCTTTCTTTCTTTCTTTCTTTCTTTCTTTCTTTCTCTTCCTTCCAAAGTCGGTAAAATGAGGACCCAGATTGTTGGGGGCAAATATGCTGACTGTAAACCGCTTAGAAAGGGCTGTAAAGCACGGTGAAGCGGTATATAAGGGCTATTGCTATTTCTTTCTTTCTTTCTTTTTCTCCCTCCCTCCTTCCTTCCTTCCTTCCATCCAAGGTCGGTAAAATGAGGACCCAGATTGTTGGGGGCAAATAGGCTGACTCTGTAAACCGCTTAGAGAGGGCTGTAAAAGCACTATGAAGTGGTATATGTACTATTTCTTTCTTTCTTTCTTTTTTTCTTTCTCTTCCTTCCAAGGTCGGTAAAATGAGGACCCAGATTGTTGGGGGCAAATATGCTGACTGTAAACCGCTTAGAGAGGGCTGTAAAGCATGGTGAAGCGGTATATAAGGGCTATTGCTATTTCTTTCTTTCTTTCTTTTTCTCCCTCCCTCCTTCCTTCCTTCCATCCATCCAAGATTGGTAAAATGAGGACCCAGATTGTTGGGGGCATATAGGCTGACTGTAAACCGCTTAAAGAGGGCTGTAAAAGCACTATGAAGTGATATATAAGTACTATTGCTATTTCTTTCTTTCTTTCCCTTTTTTCTTTTTCTGCCTCCCTCCCTCCTTCCTTCCTTCCATCCAAGATCAGTAAAATGAGGACCCAGATTGTTGGGGGCAAATAGGCTGACTCTGTAAACTGCTTAGAGAGGGCTGTAAAGGACTGTGAAACAGTATACAAGTCCAAGTGCTATTGCTAAATCTGGATGTAAGTGAAAAACTACCTGTATAGCTAGCAATAATAAACGTCTTCTCTGATTTGAACTCGACCAATGCTCTGGAGTGTTGGCACCTGAGAGTAGCACAGCAGAGGTAGACCCTCAAGGCAGACACCCCCCCCAAGGAAGAAGGGGGCAGGGGCTTCCAAAATCTGAGCTGAACGGAGTTGTATGGAGGTCTCCCTTGCCTTACCCTGTCTGAGCAGGACGTGACGCACGGCGGTGTCCACGTAGTAGTTGACGGGGTCCCCGCTGTGGATCATCAACCCATCCACAAACTTCATGGATTTGGCACGCTGGCCCCGGAGTTTGCCAGACACCACTACTTCGCAACCCTTGGCTCCACTTTCCATGATGAAACGCAGGACGCCGTAACACGCCCTACACAGAGAGAACACCCCGAGTGAGAACTTGGGACGATTTAAATATAAGCACGAGAGTCAGGAGCCCTCTGAATGTCATTAATTAACATTTAAAATTAACCACATCGAATTTTAGTAAAAACACAGAGTATAAAATCCAAAAGCTTAATAGAAAGATTACTAACGTTATCTACGATGCAAATATAAATTTTTTACTTCATTTGTCGCAACTATGCAGTCGGCAAAATCTCCATTAATGGGCTTGGTTCTGACACTGTCATTATGTGTTGGACAGTTTGTTTTCCAGCCCCACAGTCACAATTTGGTGATGGTATTTTGCCCCACTTAACAGAGGGCATCTGCGCATCTACCGTGACCGGTGGGAATTCAGTTTAGTGTTGTCTAAATCACATAGGGCTGAGGACAATTAACCAGTGGAACAGCTGGCCTCCAGAAATCGTGGGCGCTCCATCACTGGAGGTTTTTAAGACGAGGCTGGACAATCACTTGTCTGAGATGGTATATAGGTTCTCCTGCTTGAGCAGGGGGCTGGACTAGAAGACCTCCAAGGTCCCTTTTTATTCTATTCTATGATTCTATAAGTAATTCTGCATCTATAAACTCTATTCTATTCCATTCCATTATTTGATTCTATAAGTAATTCTGCATCTATAAACTCCATTCTATTCCATTCCATTATTTGATTTTACAAGTCAGTGGTGGCGAACCTAGGGCACGGGTGCCAGAGGTGACACTCAGAGCCCTCTCTGTGGGCACGCGCACCGTCACCCCAGTCCTAGGCCTTCAGCTGGGTTTTATAAAACCTTTTCGCTTGAGGCCTCCGCCGCCGTGTGCAAAAAAAAAAAAAAGGTTCAGTCAATTTCAACTTTTCGCGGGGAAAAAAAAGGATCTCGTAAAGTTGGAATTGATTGATTGAACTTTTTAGTCCCACCCAGTCTGCCGTTACCACCGCAGCCACGTCCACCCAATGGGCGATGCATAAGTGGGTTTTGGGTTGCAGTTTGGGCACTCGGTCTCTAAAAGGTTCGCCATCACTGCTCTAAGTAATTCTGCATCTATAAATTCTATTCTATTCTATTTCCAGGTGGTTCTCTCCAAAAATATTAATAAAAATCAACTAGTTAAATTTCAGCGTTAAGGACAAGAGCCTCCCTTCTCAGACAAATGCCTCAAGTTCATCCAATGAGCGGACCCCCTCCCCTTTGCCATAGCCACCAACACAGAGCCACAGAACGTGGCGCGGCATTGCTCGGCCTGGGCGGAAGGGGGGTCTCTTCTGACTCGTCATCGTATCATCACCGAAGGGATTCTTTTGGGCTCGGTCAAAAACATTATACCTGTTTACTTGATTTATTGAGGGAAATGGCTTGTGGCCTTCTTGTGTGATTTTTCTGCTGGCCGGCTTTATAAATGCGTTTCATGAACGTATTTATGTATTTATAAACAAACATACATCCGTAATCCAAAGATTATTTGCTCCTGCTACAGGTAGTCCTCGACAGACGACCGTAACTGAGCCCCAAATTTCTTGTCACTAAACAAAACTGCTGTTAAGTGAGCCTTCCCCCATGTTACGACTTTTCTTGCCCCATTTGTTAAGCGAATCAATGCAGTTGTTAAATTAGTCAAACTGTTGTTAAGTGAATCCGGCTTCCCCCGTTGACTTTGCTGGTCAGAAATTCGCAAAAGGGGATCACGTGACCCCAGGGACACTGCGACCGTCATACGTCAATACATGCCAGTTGCCAAGTGTCTGAATTTTGCTCACATGATCATAGGGATACAATGGTCGTAAGTGTGAAAAATTGCTGTAAGTCACTTTTTTTCAGAGCTGGCCGAAACTCTGAATGCTCACTAAAGGAATGGTTGTAATGCTCTAAAGCTGAAGGGACATGGAAATAGAACAGAAATAGGAATAGAATAGAGTAGAATAGAATAGAATACAGTAGAATGGAATAGAATGGAAATAGTAAAGAATAGAATTGAATTACAGGATGGAATAGAAATACAGGATAGAATAGAATTACAGAATAGAATAGAAATGTAGAATAGAATAGAAATACAGAATAGAATAGAAATAGGAATGAACAGAATAGAATAGAAATAGGAATGAATAGAATAGAATTATAGGATAGAATAGAATAGAAATACAGAATAGAATAGAATAGAACAGAAAAACAGAATAGAATAGAAATGTAGAATAGAACAGAAATGTAGAATAGAATAGAATAGAGAATAGAAATAGGAACGAACAGAATAGAATAGAGTAGAATACAGTAGAACAGAATAGAAATAGGAATGAATAGAATAGAATTACAGGATGGAATAGAATAGGATAGAAATACAGAATAGAATATAAATACAGAATAGAATATAAATACAGAATAGAATATGAATAGAATGATAGGATAGAATATATCCATTGCTTCCAACCCGGGAAGCTTTTAAGAGGAGACTGGACAACCATTGGCCTGAAACGGTATAGGGGTTTCCTGCCTGAGCAGGGGGCTGGACTAGATGACCGCCAAGGTCCCTTCCAACCCTGTTATCTTGTTCTGTTCTGTTCGTGCCTAATTTGGGAGGTGTGAAGGAAAGTGGTGCCAAATCAAAGAGTTTCTAAGACCCAGTGGAGGAAGAAGAAAGCTCGGATCCGGCTTCAGCCCCCCCCCCCGCTTACCTACGCACGGCCAGGCCCCCCAGAAGCTTGTACCGCAGGGACTCTGCTTGGGCGATGGCACACAGTCCTCGGGTGGCCACTTTCTCGGCATAGAGCTGCAAGAGAAAGCAACACGCGTCACAAACACGCAACAGGCAGGAGGTTGTTTTTTACTTTGTCGTTAGCGAAAAATAATTTACTCTCCCTCTGGGGAAGATACAGGCAGTCCTCGACTTAGCCACCATTCGTTTAGTGCCCGTTGCGATGAAAAAAGTGACTTATGACCGTTTTCCCACACGCCCAACATTTCTGTTGCCAAAAGAGGCAGCTGTTGAGTGAGTTTTGCCCCATTTTACGACCTGTCTAGCCGCAGTTGTTAAGTGAATCGCTGCAGTTGTGAAATTAGTCAAACGGTTGTTAAGTGAATCGCGCTTCCCCGCCGAATTTTGCTTGTCATAAGGTCGCAAAAGGGAATCGTGTGACTCCGGGATACGGCGATCGTCGTAAATACATGCCAAGTGTCAGAATTTTGATGACGTGGCTGCGGGGATGCCGCAATTGTCACAAGTGAAAAACGGTCGTAAGTCACTTTTTTCCGCGACTTTGTAACTTCGGTCACTAAATGAACTGTTTTAAAATGAAGATTACCTGTCAAGAAATTTTAAATGTAGATTCCTCGCACAGCAAAGGTTTTCAACCCCTGGCTTTTAAATCCAACGCTCGGCACGCAACCAACACATAGACAATAAACAGCCCATGGAAAGCCACAACTGAACCATTTGTGGCTTTTAAATTCTTGTCTATGGAGATTCTCAGTCATCCCAGATCATAATTGTCCCAAAGATGCTTTTCTTGTTTTTTTCCTTTGAAGACGTTTCGCTTCTCATCCCAGAAGCTTCTTCAGTTCTGACTGGATGGTGGGGAAAATGGAAGAATTTATACTCCTTGCAGACCGCTGGTCATATGCCTTATATTGATGGAAGGATCAATGTAAGGAAAGACCAGGTACTTATTATCATATCTGGTGGCCATGCCCCAAGGCAAAAAAGATTTTGGCTTAAGATCCATTTATGGTTGGAGAAAAATGACTACAAAACAAACAAAGACTTTAAACCAGAATTATTTTTTGTTAGGAATAATAGGAGCTAATTATGAGAAAGATTGCAGATATCTAATACTACACGTACTAACGGCGGCAAGAATGGCATTTGCCCAACGTTGGAAAAATGAACACTTACCAACTGAAGAAGTACCGATCAAGAAAATTCTAGAGTGTGCAGAAATGGATAGATTGACTTTAAAGATTAAAGAGAAAGAAGACTCGGTGTACTTTAGAACATGGGATAATTTCAATCAATGGCTAGAAAAACGAGTCAGAGAGAAAGGAACGTGATATGTCATTTTGAATATATATTAGCAAGAAGAAGGCTATTGAATGATTAACATATTGTTTACGATAATTAACTATATCTATTATTGTTAGTTAAATACATTTAATAATTTAATTTAATAATTTAATTTATATACCGCCCTTCTCCCGTAGGACTCAGGGCGGTGCACAGCATATTAAAACAGACAAACAAAATACATCAAAGAACAAAAAAAACCCCATAAAACCAAATTAAAAGCCAAATATTAGAAGCTGTGTGTCAATTAAAATTTTCTTAAAATCATCCCTACCTAAAATCCTCCCTAG